TTGAGGAGATATATATACACACATACAGAGAGCATAAAACGGGGGAAGTCGTCATTTCACCCCCGGGGCTCCAATTTATTAAAAGAAAAAAAAAAAAATTTTTAAAGGGAAAATAAAGTAACCCCGGAACAGACAGTTAGATAACAAGTGTGAGAATACTTACAAGGGGAGATAGATTCAATGTTTGTAATGGCTCAGCTATATGCTATATGCATCCGAAGAAGTGGGCTGTAGTCCACGAAAGCTTATGCTCTAATAAATTTGTTAGTCTCTAAGGTGCCACAAGTCCTCCTGTTCAACTTTTACAGGTGCATCAAGTAACCACCCCCCCATGCTCCAGTCATTGTTTTCTTACCGCTCATCCCCAAACACACGCTATTCTGTTTTTCTGGCTATATTCCTATTTATTAATAGGTGGCAAAGCTTTTCACACCTCTGAATTTGCTACTGTAGCAATTTCTCATTCTTTGTCCAGCCGCTAAACTATTTCTGGAGGGTGAGATGCACGCCTAAGAATTTGCTACCAATGCTAAAAGTATAGATTTCATACATTACAAATGTAAATATTTTTAATTTTTAAACCGATGCCACAGAATTTCACATTTGATTTATAGGAGCAAATCCTAAGACATGGTTTTCCCTGTCATTGCACAAGTTTTCTTCCCTTCCACAATGGGGTTGGGCCAGCAGCCAAGAGCCACTCACACTGGAGACTCCTGGGGCCAGCACCCACTAACTTTTACATTTGGTGTGTCCTTACCCGCCTTAATGAGGGTGGTAAATGCACGAACTTCTCATTATGAAAAGACTTAAGACAGAAGTTTCTTGATTTTAATGCATCTAAGCCTGGAAATTCAAAGAGCTACAGTCATTGCCTAAAGATTTAGGCATAGGCCAAATTAGAAAAAATATGTCAGGTAAGCACTCAGGCACAAGATAGTGTTGCTTACTGCTCCGCTTCCCAAAGCACAAAATTTAGCTCAAACTTTTTCTATTCCCAACTGAAACTTTAGCTCAAAAATTATGTAGCCATCAATATATTCTCAAAGCCAGCACAACTTTGGTTTGAAGATCCAACACATTTCTGATAATGATAGGCTTCACCTACATACATCTTTTAAAATGTAGTCCCTACAACCTGTTTAACAAGAGAACACCTGTGGTTTTGATGTACCGTATGGGAAAAACCAGGCACCTCTCATTAGCTGTAGTGAGGCATTCATGCAAATGAAAGGCTGTGGTTTCAAAAGAGGCAGGTCAGACGCCAACACCTTGAAAGAATGGTCTGCAGATTAATCTGATTTTTAAGTACTACTAACACTGTAAAATTAATGTAAATAAAAAAAGATCAATTGTTAAGCCTGTTAAGCATGCCTTGGTAAACCAGACACAGTGCAAAGCACACAACAGTATAATCACCAGGAAAATCAAACTACAAACAACAACAACAAAAACCTCTCTCCTTCCTCGTTTTTCCTTCCTTATTTCCAAGTCACACGTGTGCAGTGTCAAATCATAATAAAAACACTTCACACAAACTTTCTAAGAGGATAAAACACGTTTTGATACACAATATCAGCACCTTGAGTAGGAAAGCTTTAGGGAACCATAACTTTAAAGTGTGTGTTGTTTCTCTATTTCTGATATGAAATACCAAAGTCTAGTTAGATCAAGGGCTCCACTCTATATTCCTTGAGCACCCATAACAGTCACTGACTTAAGCCAGTGATGCAAAGAAAGCAGAATCAGGTCCCATGTGGGTAAAACTTAACAGAAAAAGCCAATACTATACCATCCATTAAATGAAAAATGAAGACAGATTATTACAAAGCTAGCTTATTAAATACATTTGTAACTGTTAATCTAAACAATTTCAGAAGCAATTCAATAAGTGATTAGTTAAATCTTACCTGAATTTCTTTAGCAATTCCATTTTTCTTATAGATTCCACTTTTTAAGAGGTTATTCCGTTTCTGATGACAATGTAGATGTCCATTGCTGACAGCATTGGGATTAGCCATTTGTTTAAATCAAGAAGATTCTCAGTTCTTAAGAGTGTCTCAGGTCTTTCTACTTTAAAAAGGCAGAGGGATGAACAAATAAAGTTCTGAGTGAGGCCTGAAAGGTATCCAACTGGTCTGTCTGGCTTTTCCAGGAAGAGAGGAGGGACTATCTTTTTGCAAGATCTTAAAAACTAAAACCAAACTGTTACCTTTATACAGCTTCAGCCCCAGTGAGGTAGAATGGCAAGTACATGGTAACAGGTCTGCTTTTAAAAACTACGAAGTGTACAGCTCATGCCGGTTACTGTATGAACACACAGCACCTATGTGAGTGAGTCAACAAGATTATTGCAGCTAGAAAGAAGTGGGTGGATTCCAAGGTGGAGACGCTTAAAGATACACTGCCTTCTAAATATTTCCCAGTACCAAACTTTAGTCCCTTGATAACACTCAGAGAAGTGATAGATTATCCTGCTTTGTGGAGTAAAAGGTTGAAAGTTTAAAATTTAAAATTTAAAAATAATAATAAGAAGGGAGTAAGACTATATATTTTAAACTTATGCAAATCTTGATATCAGCCACCATTAGTATTGAAATAGGACCAGTAGCCAAATTAGCACAGATTTCTTTGGCCTCGAGCCTGTAAACACTTGTGCTAACAAGGGGACTACTTACATTAGTAAAGATAAGTATATGCAAAGTGTTTGCATATTCGGGCCTTTATTAGAATGTAGCACTTCCATTCCACCTTCAGCAGAATACCTTTTTTAAATATCTTCTTTACCAAGATATCCTGATACAAGTCCATAGTCTTTACTCAGGAAAAACTTCGATTTGGTGAGATCTTTTTGGTACAGCCCGTTATTATGCTGCAGTGTTAGCATAGGTCTCAATTGCTTTAGCTTTGTTAACAATAGGATTAAACAGATTGCTATGCAATTCAAATGATGAGACATGTTAAAAAATTTGTTACAGGTAGGTTTGAGTGGGTCTTATTTTTAAACTTAAGCCCCAAAACATGTATGCATGTAAGTAGTAAATGGGTCTACTTATGTGCATGCTTGTAGGATTGGGGCCCTTTGACTTTAAAGGAAACACTCGTGCTTAATGTCAAGCATGTGTCTTTGCAGAATCAGATTTTACAGACAAACAGATTTTCAGGATGCTTTTTCCTATTTAAGATCGCTTATCTATTTGATTATAGGAAGTGGAGATCTTTAGAGTATCTATGTTCTAATAACAACTAAAACTACAACTTTAATTTTTCTGATTAAAGGAAAATGTCTATATCATCTACATTTCAAAGAAAAGTAGGGTTGAGGCTTTAATCGGTAAAAATATGTGAAGTGTTTAAATAAAAGAAACAGTGGAAAAGAAAGCTGCTCTCTTGACAGCAAACTATAGGTTACAATGCAGAAAATGAAACTCACTATTTGACGCCAAAGCAAATACAGGAAACTTTCAAGTTATCATAAACTGCATTATCAATATTTAAATGTTGAATTAACCAGATTTAAAATCTGGAGTATAACACATTTTTGCCAATTCTGAAATCTGTTGCCAGAGTCATGTACTGAAATATTGAACTGTATTTCCTCTCTTTCTCTCTCTCTTCTTCATGACTTGCAAAGGAAAATGATTTAAAGGAGCTGAAACCTCTTTTGTTTCTTCAAAATATGTATGTAAGGCCTGAAAGGTTTTTTCCTTTAGAAGTTTCAGGAATGTCAAATTATGTCTTCCCTTATTTGTTGAGTGTTGGAGGACTCAGGAATGTGCATTTAGAGTTTTTCTAGCTTTGAGTTGATTATAGGGAGGAGTGTTGAATTGTTTACAAAGAAAATTTTTCTCCCAAGAGTCTTAAATTGTTGTTTGGTTTTTGTAAATTCCCTAAAACTCATTTCCCTCTTCAATGAAGCAGGTTTTACTTCCTTGGTACGTCAGAATCCCCTTACTTCTCCAATTGTCCATAAAGTCTTCCAGGGTATTCAAGAGCTGTACAAAGATAAAAACCCTTTCAGGCCTTTAATTTATCAGAAAGCAGCAAATCAAACAACAAATCATGCCACCAATCCAACAAATCCACTTCTACACAAGCTTGATGCCTGATTTTGTCTTCCTTTGGAAGTAATCTTTGACCTACATCCTCAGTAAGATGGTAACAGCCTTTGCTGAAGACAACAGAACCACTCACAGTTATGGAGCTACCAAAACAATGACAAGGGTTATTAAAAACTGGAAAATGTAATCACACAGGAGTCAGTGTTAGAATTAGAATTCAGGAGTTCCTGGCCTTTGACTCTTGCTCACCCTACTAGACAACACTGTCTTATTTTTGTATGAATCACAGTCTCTGATAGACTCCATTAAGCCAATCACCAGGGTGACTGCATGATGGGTTAGTTATTGTTAGTGTGCAGTAATAGGCTAATAATCAGTTATAGTAAGTGATTGGGACTTGGGGAAAAGATCCAGGTAAGGACAGCCAGGAAATAGGTGGGGTGAATGCCCAGTAATAGTTAGTGGTATCCTGTGGTTTTCTTGCATCACTAATAGAATCCTTACAAAATTAAGGATGACAAGAATGAATCATATCTGTTCTTTCTGTACCTAGCACACTTACCTAAAAGAAAGCCATGCTGAGCATTCTCCATATTGGTCTTATTCCTATGGTTTCTCAGTGAACCCCAGTCTCCTGGAAAAAATGCTTTGTGCTCTTTGAGACTGACCACCCACCCTATGGTAAGAAACTGTACCATCTTTGGACACATCTTAGTAGCAGAAAGCCAGTGATTCTAGTATACCTGAGTTTGTATATGCTAGTCTACTCTATAAAGAATCTTATTCTCCCCTCCTCACTGTAGTTTCTCAGATGTAGGGTATTCAGTGACATGATTAACATCTGCCACATGTGGTTCATTCTCTCTCTCACCCCTTCCCCATGGGAAGGATGAATCTACCCTTGAGCTCTAAACTCCACCTTTAGTCCTGAGCTGTAGGGCCCAGACCCTCAAAGGTGTTTAGGCTCCTAATTTCTATTGAAATCAACCTCTGAGGGCCTGGGCCTAGTCCCTATTTGTTACCCTTTTGGGGGGCCTCAAAATGGGCCCTAGATTGCCTGTGGCTTCTCAAGTGAGTAAAAAAATAAACACGCTCCCTATAGTATTTTTACTTTCCAATGTGTCTATCAACATCTCTCTGAGCTCATGAACAATCAATATGAAATTAAAAGACAGCACGAGTATAATCATCTTACCTAACAATTTTAAAAAGGCACGAGAGAAAGGCCATCCTGCCCAGGCTAAACTCTGTCCTCTCAACCCACCCTCTCAGACTCAAACAAAACATAAAATTTGGAGTTCACAAAACAGGTATCTTTTGAGGGCTGTCTATATTATAGACAAATTCATCCCCGATGCAACTTTGTTCAGGTCAATGTTACCTGGTTACAACATACATGGTGGAATCCATGTTGAAGGTTTTTTCTGCAACAAAATCATGTATTGATCATGCTTCTGCAGTCACGTCTATTACGCTTCCTAACTGTGTTTGCACCAGTGAATAATTCTGAGAAAAGGCAGACTGTTCAATAAATATTTCTGTTCTGTGTTTGGGGAAGAACAGATTATATAGTCTCATCATGCTAACAATCTTTCCATTCCACTAGTATCTCTGGAAAATGTTAAACTGATGCTACTAAAGTTAGACATTTTTAAATTAGCAGGTCCAGATAACTTGCATCCAAGAGTTTTAAAAGAGTTGGCCGAGGAGCTTGCTGAACTCTTAACATTGATTTTCAATAAGTCTTGGAGCACTGGGAAAGTTCACAAAGAGTGGAAAAAAGCTAATGTTGTGCCAATTTTTAAAAAGAGTAAATGGGACAGTCTGAGTAATTATAGGCTTGTCAGCCTGACATTGATCCTGGGCAAGATATTGGAGCAGCTGATCTGGGACTCGACTAATACAGAATTTTAAAAAAGGGAAAGTAATTAATGCAAGTCACCATGGGCTTATGGAAACTAGGTCCTATCAAACGAACTAGATATCTTTTTTGATGATATTACAAGCTTGGTTGATAAAGATAATAGTGTTGATATAATAGACTTCTTTAAGGGTTTTGACTTGGTACCACACAACTTTTTGATTAAAAAAACTAGAATGCTGTAAAATGAACCTGGCACACATGAATGGATTAAAAACTGGCTAACTGATAGGTTTCAAAATGTAACTGTAAATGGAGAATTGTCATCAAGCAGGACTATTTCCAGTGGGGGTACTAGAGGGACTGGGTCTTAGCCCTCTATTTAACATTTTTATCAATGACTTGGAATAAAACATAAAATCATCACTTAAAGTTTGCAGGTGACACAAAAATTGTGGGAAGTGGTAAATAATGAAGAGGACAGGTCACTGATTCAGAGCGATTTGGATTGTTTGGCAAACTGGGCAAACGCAAACACTATGCATTTTAATAGAGCTAAATGTAAATGTATACAGCTAGGAACAAAGAATGTAGGCTACACTCACTGGACTGGGGACTCTATAGGCACTGATTGTGTGGGTGCTCTGGGGCTGAGCACTCATGGGGAAAAAATGGTGGGTGGGCAGCCCCCCTATCAGCTTCTCCTCACCCCCCAGTGCCTCCCGCCTGCCGGCGTGCCCCACAGATCAGCGCCTCCCCTTCCCTCCCAGTGCTTCCTGCCCGCTGCAATCAGCTGTTTTGCGGCATGCAGGAGCCTGGGAGGAGGGAGAAGAGTGAGGATGCGGCACGCTCAGCAGAGGGGGTGGAACTGGGTGGGAAGAGGTGGGGCGGGGGTGAAGCGGGGTGGGAAGAGGCGTAGTGTGGCCATGGGGGAAGGAGTGGAGTGGGGGTAGGACCTGGGGCAGAGCCGGGGGTCGAGTACCCCCCAGCACTTTGGAAAATCGGCACCTGTGGGGGGACTGTATCCTGGGAAGCAGCGACTCTGAAAAAGATTTGGGGGTTGGGGTGGATAATCAGCTGAACATGAGCTCCCAATGTGATGCTGTGGCCAAAAGAGCTAATGTGAACCTGGGATGCATAAATAGAGGAATCTTGAGTAGGAGTAGAGAGGTTATTTAACCTCTGTATTTGGCACTGGTGTGACTTTTGCAGGAATACCGTCTCCAGTGTCAACAATTCATGAAGAATGTTGATAAATTGGAGAGGGTTCAGAGAAGAGCCCCATGACTGATTAGAGGATTAGAAAACCTGCCTTATGGCGATAGACTCAAAGTGTTCAGTCTATTTAACTTAACACAGAGAAGGTTAAGGAGTGACTTGATTACAGTGTATAAGTTCCTACATGGCAAATAATTAATAATGGGCTCTTCAGTCTGGCA